TCAGTTTAACTAAGGTGCTATAAAAGTTATCGTAGGTCTTATAAAGCATATAGTTAAACCGAACGTAAACAATCATTTAAGAGTGCTCCAACAGCTTTTAAAACTTTTAATCAAATGGCAATACAACTACATTCTTGTTCAACTCTGGAAGCTATTATTCAACGTTTGATCAACTCAGGTGTTTTATAAGAGCTCTCAATTGTTTGTTGGGTCACCAGATTGGCGGATTGCAGTGAAACTTTTCCAAGCTTTCGCCACCTACATTTCGAAGTGAGAACTACTAGAAGGAGGATAGATTCCAAATTTTCCAAGTAAAACAGACGCTTTTTGGGGCAAATTGGTCCATAAAGAAAAACTAATAATTTCCCGTGGAAACTTTTGCTTGAATCGTGTAAGAAAACGTGTTTGAAAACTATTTGTTATTATTTCGGTATGGATCGGAATTGTTTTCATGGCAAATTATGCATAACAAGTTTGCACCCACAGGGAGAGGTTACCTCCTGCGCAGCTACATTTTTCAGAAAATAGTTAATAGGGTATACGTCCCTAACCTCGGTCTAATATGCAGCCATAGATTACGTTTTTAATCATAACTCATCAATTAATTTACCTGCAAACGATATTCTACTGCTAAATGGTATGCTTAGATATGCTTATCATGTCGTTTGCTATCAGGAACCGCAAAAAGTTGAAAAACTTACTTTTTTTAAGACAAAAACTCACCAGGGAAATGTATGTAATATCGGTCTATTGTCCCCAAATTGGGTCTATTTATGGATGCAACTTCGTCCTATCCTGTTTGATTCTCAAAAAAAAACGCTCTTGGTAACGTTTTCTTATGTATTTTTTTTATCACTATCACTGTTAACTTAATACTCTTCATTCCTCAAAACATTTCTTAGAGAAAATTTTACGAAAACTACATTAAATCACTCAAGTTAAAAATTAAAAATTAAAAATTTCGCTTATCGTCTTTCGACCGCAGAATATCTAAATCAAAACATTGTGATGTTCATTATACAGATTTGGCAGAAAAAATCTCCCTTCCTGTTCGTTCCTTATCATCCAAATGCAAACCACATTGTTGACGTTACTCTTATTGCTATATGCTGTCAAATGAATTTCATGGGCCAAAGTTAGGAACATAGAAAAGAAATGTGTCCCTAAAGTTGGGTCCATGATTTACTTGTGAAAACGTTGTTAAACAATTAAAATAAACATAAAATATTCAAACAGTAACTGTGAGTTTTACGTCTAGTGTGTATTATCAGGTAATTCCATTCAATAAATGCCATAATCAGGCCATTTGATGATCGTCAGTGCAACCTTCCCATCTTAACCTTAGAAGTCATGGCGGCTAAAAACTCCGAACAGAGTGATATTCTCAACCAGTTTTATTACTTACGAGAGCTGAAAATGTATTGAAATGTTGTGATATAAATTGATTTGTGTGTGGTACACATTTATCAATCATCAGTGATCAATATTTTCCTTATTTTTTGTGTAATATTCCTTAATTAATTATTTATTTGCGTGATAGGCCGAATGAAAGGACTAGACCCACATTACATACCGTAACCCTATGTGCGATTTTCACTAAGATGAAAGTGGAAATTAAGTGAATTTACTTAGGAAAGGTTGTATCATGCTGGTGGTAATTAAGAATTGGTTGTATGGGACGCCAAAATTCAATAAATGCTTATTTTGGCCTTTTTTAAGCAAACATATTGATACTCACAATTTTTGACGAAAAATGCACCGTAGCTTGATTTACTCAATACGCACCATACTATAAAATAGTGCTAGATGGTCTTCAAAGTGATAACAAGATGACAAATCATCTTTATTTTGAGTAATTGAGCAATTTACTTCTGTTTACCATCATATTTACGATGCAGCATTCATGGAGCCGTGAAATGAAATGAATATATCTTATGAAATTTCATCTGGAAAAGTCAAAGCTGCACATCAGTCTGATCGTAAAAACGTTTTCTTTTTCAATTCGAATGTTATATTGGAAGGATTTCACGCAGGCTTGATGAAAATTATGATTTAATGCTTACTTTCACGAATTTTATATGCAGTCTGTCAACATTATCATCATCGTGCAGTGGCGACATCTGCGTTGAGGTTTTGCGGCAATCTTCCAATGGCGGTAGTGTTTTAATGACGATGATTTACAGTGAAAAATACTCAATGCGTTATGCCTGGTTGTTTGTGCTTACGATGCACCTGAGTGCGCACTAGACTGATGCAAAATTTGAAATTTTCGCTCCACAGTGCTCAAATGATACCAAATCAGGTATACTGCCCGCATAAACACGAACCTTAACTTGACCTTACCAAAAATGATTTATTTTCCAGATTTAACTGAAATGGTCATACACATTTCATGAACGTCTGCGTGTTAAAGTTTTAACACAGACAAACAGACATAACACATTGAATATTTCTCATTCTCTACCACTACACCACCGGCGCCGGCAATTGGCGTATTCAAACAAATTTTAAATCGTTTGTTCATCTTTCTTCCATCGCTTCAATTGAAAGCCAAAAATCGACGTGGAAGTGAACAAAGCAAAACGAGAGAATCTTTAGTCATGGATGGAGAAATGGAGAAATGTAGAGAGCCTACGTAAAATCTAATTGAATTTTAAGTTAACCAATCTTAAACACTTATGGTGGTAAGCTCCAACCATAGAGATGAACTAGCCTAAGGCTAAAAATCTCTTAAATAAAGAATTAAAAAAAAAAGCTCCAACCGGTATTATCATAGAGGTAACTCTAAGACCACTGGGTCCCAAAGAAAATCATTATTATTTTTGGCTCACTCAGTACCAGAACAACGGTCCCAAGCAGTCCCAAGCTATTTCACTCACCCCTGCATGTTCTGCATGAATCCACACACCACTGATGTTATCTGTCAAACTTTCATAGCGAATCAAAACAAACATAGTGTAGTAATAGAATTTCAACTAGAATAGGGTACGTTAATCGTTTGCTTGGGACCAATAGGCTACTAAAGTGGTGAGCCAATTTAAAATCGTTAGTTTCGTTTGGTATTATCCTCGGATCAAATCCCGATCAAGAATGTCCGGCTGGTTTGATGTCGACATCAGAGTTAATCAACATAACTCTGAGCAAACATTTTTCAGATCATACAAACAGGGACGGTATTAAAAGCTAATCCGAGTTAAAGCTTACCGCCATTAGATTTTTTGCCGAGATGGGCACCACCGAGCAGCTGGGCATTTTATGCTGCCGGATCTCAGTGGAAAACTTGACGAGATTCAGCAAAAAATGGAAATTTTGCCGAGATCTCAGCTAACAAACATCCTGCCGAGATTCAGGAATTTTGCCGAGATCTCAGCTAATAAACAAAGATTTTGCTGATCTTCTTCTTTCATTTATTTAACGTCGGTTCCGTAATCTAGTGCCAATCACCGACGGACATCGATTGTCATCCATTGACGGCAATCGAATGTGCAGGAAAGCAGCTTCCACACCTGCGTAGGATATCGCACCCATTCAACACACATGGGCCGGGACCAACGGCTTTACTCCCCTGCGAAGGAAGACGTGACCAGAGATTTTTATGCCTCATGGGATTTCACCGACCTCGGCTGAGATTGAACCCAGACCCATTGGGGTGAGAAAGCAGTCACGCTTACCACTACACCACCGGCGCCGGCTCAAAGATTTTGCTGATATCTCAGTAAAAATAAATGCCAAGCTGCTCGATGGTGTCATTCTCGGCAAAAAATCTGAGTGTGTGGATGTGCTCATAATGTATTGCACAAAATTTGTGCCAACATTTCAAAGGGGCGTAATTGCTTTTGTAAACAATGGCTTTAGACGTCGATTTCTCGCAAATGAAAACCCACCCCTCCAAATTACAAATGCTAGCTGATACAGGAAACATTCCTCTGCGTGCTGGTGTCATTCATTTTTATGAGTGAGGTTTCATTCGCGAGAAATGGACGACTCAAGCCATTGTTTACAAATGCAATTACGCCCCTTTGAAATGTTGGCACTGAGATAATGATAATGTTCATAACAAGGTGACTACATATAGGTGTTCTAATGTGTCAAATTCATGATTCAGCCATGTTGGACTTTTGTATGGGACAGCGACCGAGTTTGTTTACAATTTGCACACACCCCCCACCCCCCCCCCCCCCACCACGACCTCCTCGCCTATATAGTGACAAAGCTGTATCACCATTTATATACCCACCATGGTTCATACATTGTCATACAAGAAGTGTATCCGCGGCATAACTCACTTTCGGAGTTAATTTCCTTTTCAGTGTGAACATGAAGACATGCACACTACCGTTCCGATTCAAATTTCAGACGATTCAAATTTCGGACACTTTCATTTTTAATTAAATATTACATCCAGTTAGAAACAAAGTAATAATGTTAGATGATCGTGGAGGGCACTAGTCAAAAAAAATTAAAATTTACAAGACATGTGGATCATATTCGACCGAGATAATCAACTTTTAAAAGTGTCCGAAATTCGAGTTTAAGTGTCCGAAATTTGAATCGGCACGGTATTTCAAATTTACTCAAATTCGGGTATAATCCAGTGACAAGTTGACAATTTTTTTTTTTTTTTAATTTTTTGTTTACGAGATTTTTAGCCTTAGGCTAGTTCATCTCTAAAGTTGACAAATGGACAACATAGACGTGAATCTGATCGACTTTTTCAGATTAAAAAATTCGAAACTGAAGTACCAAAGCAAATCTTGGCAACAATAAATCGAGGAGTGGTTTACGTAATATTTTCTTTTCGCGTATTCCGGGAGATAAATCGGAATGCGGAGGGTGCAAAGCGAATTGTGGTCTTCCAGCAGACTTCCACCCAACCGGATGATCCTGTCCTTTTTCATATGTTTGTCGCGACTCAAATAAAACTTATCTAGACAACTGCTAACTGAGCTATGTTGTTTGGAATATACTATGATTCAAGCGGTGACAGAATAAAGAAAGAACAAACTGTCAAAATTTTCCAATTTTCGTGCTCACACCATCGAATTGCGGTCATCGTCATAGGAACTCCGGGTTTAATTTTTAGTTTTTCCTGAACAAAGAGACCAAATTCCCTTCAGCTTTCAGACAAAATGGACAAGGAAACAGCAGTACTGCAGCGCAAGTTAGAATCTGAGCTGAAGAACTACAAAGATGCCCAAAAAGGTAAGTTCTTTTCCGGTATCGCCTTGGTTCGGTAGCGGCTAACCAAGTTTTGTCCTTTTACAGAATTTAATAAGCTAGTTCAACAACAGCAACTCCTGGATGGCCAGTATAATGAGAACAAGAACGTTTTGGAGGAACTGCAACTACTGAAGCCCACTAACACGGTAATCGATTGGTTGCTTTAGTTTTTTCACCCCAAAATGTTGCCATGTGTGTGATACTGATGAGTGTCTGTTTTATCGTAGGTGTACAAACTGTACGGTCCGGTGTTGGTGAAACAAGAGCTAGAGGAAAGCAAGCAAAATGTAGCCAAGCGTATCGAGTATATCAACAAGGAGCTGAAGAAGTGCACGGAAAATATCTCCAACCTTGAACAGAAGCAGGACAAGTACCGAGCGAATCTGCAAAAGTTGCAGCGCCAGTACCAAAGTCAGATTGCTCTGACGAAGCCTTAAGTACAAACTTGGTACATTCAACCTGGATGATGATGGTGGTTCGCATTTCTCATGTGTTGAAATATCCGCTATTGTGCGCTTCTAATCTTACATACATGCCTAAAAGTAAGAATTACATTAATTTATAATATCGATCTATAATGTTACAAGGTAAACTTGAAGGTAATACATGAATAATGTCGTTTCCGTAACAATTTATAACATTGTTCGTTTGAATGGGGTCACCTGAAATATCGACAAAACAGAAAACAATGTTCAATAAAGAATATAAGGATAAAAACGGAAGGGGTAACTAAAACGGGAAATGATTCGTCTCCCCTGTTCATCTATTGATTTAAAGTTAATTCAAGAAAGATATGACGTTGATTTATTTGAATAATGTTATTTTTTTAATTAAACAAGCATAGCTAGCAATTTTGTTACGAATATTTGCTATGGATTCCTCAGAGTCCAGCATAGACTGAGTATTTCTAGTTTCCACCGGTTGGTGGTACTATTTACAAGCACTTAGAAGTTAAAAAAAGAAATCCGAATTTTAATTTGAAAATTGTCGAGGAAATGCGCGCTGAAGGGATGTTGCGGACATTGCAAAAGTGTGGTTTACATCTCACTACAGTCTTAAAAATTATCGAGAACATCTACCCTAGCAAACATCAATTAAGTTCGCTAAGTTCACGTAAACAGTACCACACCACTGAACTGTCTTCCAATTGAGGTAAACCCCGGCGGTGCAAAACCTTATACAAAGTACCACCGAGGGGTGCAAAGATAGTTTCAGTGAACTAAAATTGAAGAAATTTTAGATTTCGGTTCCATTTGTAATCCATATTACGAATATGCAATTCCCTCAATACCCCTAAAGAACCGAATTTACCCAAATGAGCAAATGCAAGTGTTAGTGCAGAACTTTGGGTGTAAAACAATAGCGATCAACGTAATTCAAACTGATGTATCAAATATTGTTGAGATTGCAAAAAGTAGATAGTAGATAGTGCTCGTAAAAACTGTGTACATCGTTAGAATGTAATATTACACAACTGATGGAATGACCTGGTTGCAGCAGTTTCGAACTTTATTTTCTGTGTGAGGTACGCTCAATATGCATTATCTCCCGCTAATCCGACAAATTTGTGGCCGATTACTCTAATAAAAAAATACCATAACAGAATGACAACCCAAATGATTGAACTATTCCATAACCATAACAATTTTATTAGGGTAGCGTAGCGGGGTTGATCCGGTAATCCATAAAATCTTTGCTACCCACCATTGTCCATTCTATATCCCTAATAACATTTGTATGGTTATTTCGCTTAACGACGTGTTTAGGGTATCATCCAAACCATTTGTGGAAAAGTTCGACAATTTGGGTTATCGTTCGTTTATGGGATTTGTTTATTAGGGATGCGCAAGTATGGCAAGTATTGATGGTTTGAAAGTGAGGGTAACAAAACAAACCAACATTTTTGGCTGGAGCGAAAGTGAGGATAACAAACTTCACCCTTGAAAATGAGATTACTGAAGTGTGCGTGTTATAAACGTCAGAAAGGTCAACAGGAGACCGTGATGTCGGATTAGCGGAGAGTTACCATAGAGGTAACTCTAAGACTAGGCCCCAAAAAGCATGCTCAACTTTTTGGCTCAGATCTGGTACTATCTTCGGTCCCAAGCTAATCGATTCACCCCTCGAAACATTGGAAAATCCACTAGCCCCTCATTTTATCTGTCAAACTTCCATAGCGAATCAAAACAAACATTGTGTAGTACTAGAATTTCGACTAGAATGGAGTACGTTAAGCGATTTGCTTGGGACCAATAGGCTAGTCAAGTAGTGAGCCAATTTAAAATCGTTAGTTCGATATTTCCGTTGTACGTGCGTTATATGCTGCCAGGCCCCTGGTTAATACATAAGTGGTGCACTTTTCCATCAGGGCAACCTTTTATAAGTAAACCACTGGCTGCATCATGCATCAGTCAGTCAGCTGATAAGAGTTTTTGTTTATACTCCGTGTTCTCTCGGATTTCAGTCATCCGTGACCAAATTTTTCACGATAACGTTTTGTGGAACCATTGATAATCCTACTAATGCACTGTGTGGCAGTGTAGGTAATCCCTGTTGCGATGGAAGTTAATCCACTCAGCATCATCCTGGTCAAATCGGACAGCAAAGGTGACCGACTACTGTTCCGTTACCCGTACAACGTTCCCCAGCAGTTCCAGACGAGTGTGGCCCCAGTTCGGAAGACTCCATATTCGATAGTAAACAATGCGGACGATATCTTGCAGAATGCTCCACCAGCGGCGTCGAATATCTGCTTTGGTGAGAATAATAATTATTCATATTTTTGCTAACGATGGAAAATTAGGAACATTTAAATTTCCAGATCAACTCTACGGAATATCGGATGATGTTCTTGCAACGCTGTTTGCCGTCAAGTCCGAATTGTGCAATCAGAAATTTGAGCTCAAAGTGAACGATGTTCGCTTCGTATCGCATCCAACGCTGGTGAAGATGGACAGTGAGGATCAAAAGAATTCCTCTTATTTCCGGATCAACGTTGTTTTTGCGTTGCATGCTCAAGCTAGCTATTCCGTCGTAAAGTGCTACTACGAGCTAAGTAAACGAATAGGCGTTGCACTGCTGTATGAAGAGAAACGAGCGGGTTATCTTTCGAACGAGATGAAGATGATGGTTTCATGTATGGATGAAGTGGCAGCAGCAGCACAGGAACATGACCACGCAACAACAGCCAGTGGACCATGTGGCAATGTGTTTGATACTATTCTGAAAGATAGTACCCTGGCACAGTTTATCAAAACGATCTACCAAGATCTGAGTACTACGGGACTGCTTAATGTAACGATGAATCAGTCGGTTACGTTGAGTTTTTGTCTTCCGCAAAAGGCTCATCAGTTTCACAAGAAAGGAGTGGTGATCGAGCCGGAAACCATTGATCGATGTTTGCACGCACTTAAGCCATACCATGGAATGTTACTGTTGGTAGATCCATCGGAATTGTTGGATTGTGTGCCTCCGTCTGGTGCGCGCATGCTTCTGCAGCTGATCGAAGCCTATAATCCGTTGAAGAGTCTACAGAATATGGCTTCCGATGCAGATCTAATGATTGACCACGTCTACCAACTGGTAGGTCATTTGGTGTACTGGGCTAAAGCTACCATTATCTATCCTCTATGCGAGACCAACGTGTACGTCATAGCTCCCGACGCCCAGCTGAACATTCACTCGAATCTGTCGGAAAAGTTTTCGACAAAATTCCCGGGCATGTCTCTGTTTGAGGTGATCAGTGACTTTTCGTTACCAACATCGATCGGACATCTGACTACACCATTACAGCATCCGGCTCGTCAGGGAAGATTGGCTCAAATGGTGTTGTGGATGTTGCAGCACCACCTCCTAATGCAACTGCACACATACGTTCAATTTATAGCGTCGTATGATGATGAAGAAGAAGGCCTATCAACCATGAACGGAAATCATATCGATGATATCAAAGAAATAAGAGAAGAGGGGCAGCAGGTCAAGAATACTATGTATGTTGGAATGGTTTGTAGGTAATCGCAATTAAAATTCCCTAATTAACAATCGCATTTTAGTGGATGCTGTTCGCTTCCGGCCACCTCTAGTCAACCCCTCGCCGTCCCTACGAATCGTAAACATTCCCTCTCGGAAGACCTGTTCCCTGATAGTTTAACTTTGGCAACCTCGAACACGCGACCTTCGTCGGCGAGTCATCGATCCAACATCAGCCATTCAAGCGTTGGTCAGACCGCATCCAGTACCGACAACGACGAAAGTATAGCCTCGATGGATGACGACGACAAGATAAAGCGACTGCTGTCGGCTTTTCCAGAGTGTGACCGTAAGGCGATACTGAAGATTCCGGCCGCTTCCAATCCGGAAGACCTTTCACTTATGGTACGTCTCTGGCAGGCCGGGTATTTCAAAGGCGAACACCACCTGGAGGAGATTATGTACTTTGAAAACCTAAGACGATCGCAGCTGCTTCAGCTGGTGGACAAATTTCGAGACATTCTCGTCATCTATGAAACGGAAGATCCGGCCATTGGCAGTCTATACACTGTACCACAGCAGTAACAACAAACTCGTTTTCGTCGCAAGCAGTAACAAAGAAAACATAATAAGTAGATAGCAACAATAAAAAAATTTATTCGAAATCTCAACTGCCCGTATAAGCATATCAGTCCCGTCTGGAAAAAACAGTAATATTTAAGATTTATTTCTTCATTGGCTCTTATGAAATAGGACGATCTAGTTTAGGTATTTTAAGATTTTTTCTGAAAAACAGGTAACTTAAAGTGGACATTGTAAAACACAGGTAAATAACGCGTTTTTACCATAATTCCACAAGGGACCGTTCTGCCTTTAGGGAGAGTCAAGCGGTTGTGGTATACAAAACTAGAGAAAATTCCTCTGAAAGAAAAAGCGCTCGTCTTGAGGGAAGGTAAAATTTTTTGTCATCGACCGTTTTATGGCTTGAAATCAGGTACTCCCTCAAAGGTACAACCAGATCTTTGGATGATTTTCCGGGCAGCCCATATACCACACTCGATGCATGTATCAAAGCTTCGCTGCTGGACCAACTGAGCCAGAAAACCACCAACAAACGCATCGCCAGCACCGTTCGTATCTACAATCTGATCCGTTGGAAGCAATTCAACTGGAAATTCCCTAATAGCTCCATCTTGGATCAACAGCACCGGATCACTGCCCTGAGTAATGATTACAACGCGTCCACGAGCTTCATTTTGCTTTGGTAACGCAGAAATCTTCAAACCGATTTCCTTCAGATCTTCGGTGCCAAACTTTTGTGCCTCGGCAAAGGCAAGCGCTTCCTAAAATGTCAACCATTAGTTTAATTGCGATTTGCAAACATGCCGATCTTACCGTTTCATTCCCAAAAAGAATATCAATGTACGGAAAAACTTGGTCCAGGTTTTCTTTGAAAAATTGTGGAATGAATGGGGCACTCAGGTTCATCATAAATAACCGATCCTTGGAGAGGGCATGCTTCGCCACGGCCAAAATGCTGTCCACACTCACCGTTAGGAAGAACCCGGAAATGTAAAAGTACTCCGCATTTTGTAGAAACTTATCACATTCCGGCGTTTTCAGGTGATCCACCGTGAAGTTATTGGCCGAAGCAAGGTTAGCACACAGGCTTCGTTGGGTTCCGGTAATCAGCACGGCGCACGTTCCAGTCGGAGTGTTCTTGCAGAATTGATACTGCACATTGACTCCATCCTCAGTGGCTTTCTCCGAAAGGATATCCGAATACTTGTCTTGTCCTACGCATCCGAAGAAGACGGCAACTTTCGGCCTTTGGAAAACCCATTGTGCCACGCGGAAAGAATTCTGGACGCTACCACCAGCGATAAATTCAGCGCTGAACTTGTCGACAAGCTCCTTATAGCTACAATTAATAAATATAAACGACAATTTGTTGGCAACCTTTGGAAACCCATTTGTCATGCTTGAATATATTTACATTGGCATGTGCTTTTCTTCTGCAAGGATGGCATTGTTTGGCAACATGTCGTATTTGGCAAGGAATTGCTCATCTACAATTGCAGAGATGTCCAGCAACGGGTTGCCACATCCCAATAGAAGACCGTCCCTGAAATAAAAAAAAAATATAACGGAAACAGTTTATCAGTCGAAGGATGGAAATGTTTTCGCCTAATCCTAATTTCGCTGATGCTTCTTAAATCAGGATGACCTCTTGACCCGCCCGACCACTTATCAGCTTCCTTTCAATCAAGCACCACTTGAAGATTATTTGCAACTTCTCTTCTTTAACTCGTAACACTAAGCTATACCAATATGAGTACTACGCTGTTCAAGGCATTGAAGATAAATATACATTCACATCAACAGGGTTATGAAATGAACTTCCGATACCCTTACCTTAGATTAGCCATCGTATCCAGATATTCTTTTGAAAGTATTCAAATCTGCTATAGATTTTGCGTTCTCCAGAATCTGCACTCCGCGTGGTGCTGTGTGGCAACTTGTGCGCTGAGCTGATTACTAGCAACTGGCTAGTAAAATATCGGACTGGACCACGGCCGCGACGAATCACCACACCACACTGCTGGGAAGAACCGAAAACCGCGAAGAAAAGCACACACACTCGGAACGAGCCGACACACGATTTATTTGACAAAACAATAATGTTTTGATAAACCTCGCGTGACGGATCCGCGTTGTTATCAAAATCGCAAATCCATACGCATTTGACATTTTGGGGACCCCTCGTTTCGATTGACGGTATGTTTTCGGCCAAAACTCTTATCGACCTGAGAGAATGATCCTGCTTCCCCAAAATATGCAATATTGGAGGCAACGTAAATAATCGTAGCGTTGGAAAAGCAAAATTTCACTATTTAACATTACAATCACATGTATCACAAAAAAAAACAGTTACAATTTAACAGTATAAAAATAATGCTGCATTTCCGATTTGTTTACACTAATTCAATGTCAGAACATAAGAGATTGCAACCTGGACCATTTTCAGGCTTAGAAAATGTTTGTTTTTATTTGGTAAGGCGGCCATTTTTTCAGATCGATCGAGGGAGTAGACACGAACGTATCGTTTTTCTATTAAATAAAATAATATCGTTTTCAAGACAGGTGATTTTTTAAATGCGAGTCCTCGGATGGACCTCGCCCGTTTTACCGCAAATCGGCTGTGATCGTTTCATTTCCTACACGTTAAGATGCACATACCTCAAATTCGGTAAATAAACCAAGATATCGGTAAAAATTACCGGTAATCGAAGAAAGTGCATTCATAAAATTCGACACATTTTTATTGGCGAATTTCCATGTAAAATTTCACATGATTTTCATGTGTCCACACACCAACAAATTCCACTCCACTGTACACATGAAATTTATGAGTCAATTGAATAGTATGTGTTGTTACACATGAATTGTATGTGTACACATAAGAACTATGCTGCCCATAATCGCATATAAGTCCCATATGGATAGGAAATCAAGCGAGAAATGGGACTGATATGCGATTATGGGTAGTATGTGTCCGACACATGTATATCATTTGTTTATCACATTGTGGAACACATACAAATAATCATTTAATTTCTATCAGTGTGCTCATACCTAAATTATCAGTAATCATTTTATAGTTAAAAAACTATTTAAAGTAAAAATTAACAATTTTTATCGGTAATAAATACCGATATTTTTTTACCCATAATTTTAGGTAATTGTAGCTTAGAGTGTACACACTTAGAATTTTTTTTTTCGATATTTTTTACTGATAAAAATCGTTTCTTTAAACATTAAATAGGCTATTTTTTACTAAAAATTAGGAAAACTTTAACGTTAAATGTTGGTAATCCATCAGTACCGATAGTTTAGGTACACTGTAACTGGCGTGTATCCATTAATGGGTAAAAAAGTACTCATTTTTTATTACTATATGTAGCAGTCAAATAATGGGTTAATGTCAATTTCAAATAATGAGTACTTTTTTTTATCCATTTCTCAGATCACTTCAGACGAAAATAATGACTACATGTTTACTCATTAATGTGTGCAAAGCAACTTAGATAACATCTTTCACGAGGTCTTTCACTCCTCGCTTCAGCCGCAAACTGCCGAAAACCGCTCGTATTTTTTTTTAAAAGTAAGTATTTCCCAATTTATTTTTTCCTGTTCACATCTAAAAAGTAATCTGAAACTTGCAGGGAGCGCAAAAAGTATTGTATTCAGGACCACATTGATAATAAGTCTTCGACCACATTTTTCGATAAAGAAACAGTAATGCTCAATTGGCTCCTGCAAATGACAGGTCAAATTGGCTCTCGTCATTGTCTCAGCCAGACCGCCAGACTACAATATACAAAAAAAAACCCTTTCGTTTTGGTAGAAAGTCTTTGGAATTTAAAATAAAAGTCAGGAAAATACTGATAGGTGGATTGACCAATCAGGCAGTAAGGTTGGTTGGCGCGAAAACGTGGCGCATCACGCCACGTAGCTCCACCAATAGGAGACAGGTAACATAATTTTGTAATGTAAGCATATTTAGTCTTTAAAACGGTAGAGCACACGAGGCTCTACCTCTTTTTTTTATCATAAATGTGTAACGTGTAAGATCGGTAATAAATAGTGTTAGGATTAAAAGTACTTTTTAAAAAGTGAACTACGAAGAAAGATCCCTTAACTCACCTATTATTAATTCAAAAATTAACTGCTCCCTATTTTTAAAAGTTTTAACTTTTAAAACCGAATTGTACTTCTGTCAAAACAAAAGCATGGCAGTGTTGGAACTAAAAGTGACAAATTACACGTCAAACGACACAACCCAAACGTCAAATCATATGTTCTCTACCAAAAACTCAGCCAGATTGTGGCGGTCATAAGCGCTCGTAAAATGCTGGATTGAGGTAAACACATATTCGTTATCTGCCTTAAAAATTGAACTGAAATCCAAAATTTCATCAACTTTGGTAGATTGGAACCTCGATTGGAACTATTTTAAATAAGTACCATTACATTAGCAAAAATCACCATCTTAGCGCCCCTCGGCGGGACTTTGTAATAGCAACAATCAATACGAAACTAACGATTTTAAATTGGCTCACCACTTTAGTAGCCTATTGGTCCCAAGCAAACGATTAACGTACCCTATTCTAGTCGAAATTCTAGTACTACGCAATGTTTGTTTTGATTCGCTATGAAAGTTTGACAGATAAAATGAGGGGTTATTGGTTTTTCCTATGTTTCGAGGGGTGATTCGACAAGCTTGGGACCGAAGATAGTACCAGAGGTGAGCCAAAAAGTTGAGCACGTTTCTTCGGGACCTACTTGTCTTAGAGTTATCTCTATGGTAATAGTACGTTCAGACTACAGAGTTATAACATGTTATAGCGCTATCTTGATGGTGGTTTCTGTGTTGCAATTATTTGACAACCGTTATAACATGTTATAACTCTCCAGTCTGGACAGCGTTTAATGCCCCGTTCACATTACAGCCTATATCACGTAATATAGGCTGTCTTGCAATGAGCACTCATACACAAGATTTCTAGTGAAAACTAAATGTATGAGTGCTCATTGCAAGACAGCGTATATCACGTGATATACGATGTAATGTGAACGGGGTATTATATCATGTAATATAGGCTGGCTTGCAATGAGCACTCATATATACGATTTCCAGTGAAAACTAGATGTATGAGTGCTCATTGCAAGCTAATCTATATTACATGATATAAGCCATAGTCTGTCCGGGTAGAGTCGGTGTATAATGAGTCACGCCAAGAGAAAAACAGTTGAACTCGCATCACGGTTTTCGAAAGATTCCCATTCTTTTCACTTGGCAACAGAGGACTTCTACAACAACTTCAAATGACTTCTAGCGAGAGAAAAAACATGCGGCTGTAGTAAATCATTATATCAGTGATTTTGTCAAATTATCTTAACAAAAAATAGTAGAAATTCTCATTACTGATCATTACCGAACGTACACTCAAAAAATTCCACACGTTTGATCGAAGTGTTTAAACACTTGATTTTTTAAATGCACAATCACATTTACTTTAAATGTATTTCACCTTAGTTCAATGTGTTATACACGTTAATTTCTAGTGTTTCAAACTTTGAAAAGTTGAAAATCTTTCACTATCTATTCAAGTGTATTGCACATTGAATCACACTACTGTTCAAAACAGATGGATTTAAAGTGTTTTGCATTTCAATACGATGTGAATTGCTTGCTCAGAAAGGTAAACATCGAAAACAAGAGTTGTGACTTTATCCTATCAAGCCGCCTCATATATGAGAACAATCGTGGCACAGTTAGATCGAACGAAGACTCCGACAGCAGCACACCCCAACAGTCCATGATCGAATCCCAAATCAGGCCCATTAAAAAGATATGTGAAAGCTCTGGCCTCTGAAATTTATTTATATATTTGTCGATTGATTTTTAGAGTCGTTAAAGTAGAAGTCGATAAAGTAGAATATTGTAGAATATTGAACTATGATGTGCAAAGCTATTGATATCACCATATGAGGCCCATAGAATCCAAGTGTGTTACAATTCAAATCCATAGTGTTCAGGCATGGTTCATAGCATAAGATTCACACATGAAATGGATGTGTTTCACAATAAGCGCAAAATTAAGTGTGAGACACATGATGATGACGTGGGCAATTTTTTGAGTGTATCCCATGACAATTTAAAGCTCACTGCGTGTTTATGCTCATTTCTTCGATTATATTTTATATTTTATTGCAATACCTTTCGTGGACCTTTCATAGCATCGTAATGTTTATTTACTTTGCCCGATAGGTAGCCGGTTTGACGGTTCGATAGGTAGACTTGGCTTCACTCTTGGCGTGACTCATTATACACCGACTCTATGTCCGGGGTATAAGGGAGCGAGCTGTCAACGAATAGATTTAGTGTCATCGATCAAAAATTTAAATCTTGATTTAAAAAACGAGATGAATATCTACGGGATCGATAAAAAATATCGTTGTGCTCAGAAAACTCTATCAGATTATGTATATTTTTGAAGTTTAAAAAGCCGATTTTCATGGTAGTGAGCTATCATTTTTTTTAGTTTAGTTTCAAACAGCGAAACTATTATTTTGCATTAAATCTTGATTAAAATTTTTTTTTTCCTTTATTTACAAGGCTTTTAGCCATTGTCTGGTTCGCCTTGGGGTGAAAGCACATGAAAAAGGTGTGGGAGCTGCCTACCTGGCAGCATTGGTGCTCAGCACGGTCGGTAGCATCTGGTAGCATTAGTGCTCAGCACGGAAAACAAGATCGACGGAAAAAAATCAAGAAAATAAAAAGCTTGTAACACGAGTTTTATAAATCAGTAATAAATAAACTCGTAAATAAATAATTAAAAAGTCCATAAACATAAAAAAAAAATGGATTTCAGCAAATCCCATTTCTCGAAAGCCCCTCGGTTAACTGATCGATTTTACCGCCTTGGCACTCGCTTGAAAATGCTCCTCGCACCGGACGTGACGAAAAACGAAACGGCGAACGACGGAGAAGGCAGCAGAAAAAAAAGAGTAGACGACGACGACGACTGCGACGAAGAAGAGGAAAAAGTAAATGCAGCAGCCTCGAAGAAGCTCGATCGGGAAAAACTCCAAACTCGTATTTGATCTGATTTTCCGGACGTTTTGAGCGTGAAAAATGTCCTACTAGTGGACGAAAGTGTTTGTTATCCGATCACCAGTGCACGAACGTTGAAAACCAATCGTGGAATAGGCTTTTCCAGAGGAAACGCAGCGCTCTGGACAAAGTAGAGGAAAACGTAAGTAGGATTGTGTTTTTTTCTTCCCCTTATTTCCTTATAGCTGAGTACCTAGTTCGGAATCCGTGTTCTCGAATCGAAAAAAAAAGCAGATCTGGGTACTTTACACTCGCATTTAGGCTGCTGAAATTCTTTAGCGATTAGACTCTGGCTATTTCGGTGCAGTATTTGGCTTAGTAGCTTTTTCCCGATAGTTTCTTTTTTAGTATTTTGGGTGTACTCCGCCGCGGTAATGTACGCGCGTATTGGTGCCTGTGAAAAAAGCCATCATTGACTTCTTTTTTTTCTCCATTTTTGTGCGAGTGCTTGTGTTTGTGTTATTTTTCATGGAGGAATATTGAAGCAAAATTAAAAAAAAATATTGCTGTTGAAAAATGGTAATTTTTCTGTTCGTGATGGAAAGTAGAGAAATATTTTTTAAGAATGTGATCGTAGAAATGTATTTTGAACTGCTTGAGGTATTTTTCAGACTAAAAAGTACAGGCATTAGCAAGAGAACCGAAGAATGCAAAGTGGAACGGGATCGTCTCGGAGCAGAGGAAAAAATGGAAAGAAAAAAAAAAACGGAAGAGTAGAGTGCGCAAGGGAGCTGGGGAAGGACGAAAGTGAGAGAGTGAAGAAAAAAAAAGTGTTCGAAGATTGTGTCATGAAAACGATGGAATTTTTTTCCGTCTTATTATGGACGCGGTCCAGCGGATTGAAAATTTTACTTACTGCATGCAAGAGAACTGACTAGTGACCATGAACCCTCGACTGTCAGAGTGGTGCTGATGACGAAATCAGCCATTTATTACGCAACAAAAACAAGACGGATTCACAAGGATTGAAATTGGTTAAATTTTCCTCAGCCTGCTGCCATTCTGAATCAGTTTTCATTCGTGGCTACTGTGGTGATTGGATCTGGCTGTTTTCATGGTGTCCGTGATATTTTGGATGGCCACAACGGTAGCAGCCAGGCAGATGCGAGCGAGTAGAGAAAGAGAAAAAGAAGCAACAACATCAAAGCAAGCGCTATTAACTAGTTGAAGAGGAGGCTAGTTTTCACGATTTTTCCCGTCTATATTTGATGCACTTTTCATCGGTGAGCTCTCCTGCGGCAGACATTTTCTTTTGCGATTAATCAATCGTGCAGGAGCAAAGCAAAGCAGAGAAAAAGGCAAAAAAATCCGCGAGTCTAATTGCCGTTATCGGATTCTCGTCTCGAGCTTCTCCTCTTTCTAGCTCGCTATTACAAGCCTACTGTACTTGGTACTGCTCCGACTCTCGTCGTAAATTTATTAAGGTCGCACGATTGTGTGCGTGTCGCTTTTCATTAGCGCAAATAATAAAAAAAAACGCGAGTACTACTAGCTCGCGATGGAACAAAGACATCCGTACCGTGCCGTGTAGCTGGCAAACTATACACGTCGATCGGATTTGATGAAAGCAAAGAAAATAACAGGCTAAAATGGCTCGACTCGTTTGGCTGCCCTCGCTTGTATGTGTGTTATTTTTATATTAAAACACTGAATTGAATTCATTTTTATCTTGTTACAATTTTTTCGCTGCTCGTCTCTTCGTGGTTTAAAAATAACATCAAATTTGTGCGAGATTCTGATGTAGCAATCTGCCGCTCGTCGCTGACTAAACCGCTTCGTAGGTAGACGAATGAATTTGAGTGGCCTCTTCCGGAAAAGTCATGTCAAATCAAATCAAATCCCACCGCGCAATATTCAATGGACGATAGTAGCGAAAATACCCACCAGTGCCAGTCGCATCCATTTTCTATTTTTGCTGATTTGTTGGCATACCTACTGCTGGTGCAACCGATGGATGATATCGAAGAATGATACCAACAACACAGTTAAGAATAGGAAGAAGATGAAAAAAAAAATGATTCCCCTGTATGTAGGTGGAGACACCAACAAAGAGCGACGGTGGAAAACTAACCATGGGAACAACAACGTTACCCCCAAGCCCCATGCAACGGACTGGGTTGCGCGGACGTGCGGATATGAGAGTAGTTTTCCTCTGTTCGAAAGGTTGTCAAACGAGAACGAAATTTGTGTGTACAATTATTGCAAGTTTTGTGGTTCCCTTCAGGTTGATGGTAGTTGTGCAACCCTCGTCGAACAGTCCGACAGTGAACTTCTATCTTCTGTCTTGCACTACTACATTGTCTTCCTCATTCACTGTGGGACGGTGGCGAACTTCCGCTGCTCAAAATATGTCCAGCGTTTGATTTTGCAGTGAGGGACAATATTTTAATTATGTCACATCAAACTGACGAAAAATTTACTCCTCCCTTTCTCCTTTCGTCACATTTTCCCTATATCTAATGCATTGCTTGTCACAGAGTGTTAAACCCCGCCCCCTTTAGAGCGTGACAGAATATGAGCATCATCCCTAATAAAGTTGTTGCAAATTTTCTTTTATAAGTTCTAGATGATCATTTCCAAAGGTCCTAGGGCGATTTAAATATGACATCCACAAGATTCTCGAGTACTCGTGAGAATAATACTCAAAATTTCTAACTGATTTAGATGAATTTCCCCTATATATTTAAGATTTCAGTGGTGCAAGTAACAATAATATCAATAAATGAGCTCGTAATTGCAATGTTCACAACACTGTCACGTTCTGTCTTAAAAGAAATCGATGAGACTTTGTAGAAAATCTCTATAGTCGTTTTCTCATCCGATGATGGTGACAGCATACCCGTGATCATTTATATAGCGGCCAATGAGAGAAAAACGAATCAAAACATGCTTAAGCTCTATTTCTTTCTCTCTATTTCAATCAAACGTAGGATGTTTATTTGGCTGCACGTTTTGACAGTTCGTTTGGATGCATAACCCAAACATTGGTCGATCAATATGCAGTGTCTTCCACATTTCGGCAACATTACTTTTACAGAGATAACATAGTAAAATTATAATAGGAAAATAGAATACCTGGCAATGAAAAATGGCCGGTACCCTTATTTATGCATTTTGCTTCACATTTTCAGCTCCACCTTTTTTGCATTACTGCATAAATTATTTACTAAGCCCTGCTTCAATCCGGGATTCCCGCCTTTTATCTTATTGGGCGGGGACTTCGAATGTGAATAAAAAAACACGCGTTAGAGTACCAAACATTTTTGCAGTGCCAGGTATCTTATTTTGATGTCTGTGAATGGAATATGTAGATTTGTTAACTGCACGGTTCCCTTTTCATAACTCTTGGAATACAGTTTATGGGTATTGTCCGATGGATGTAGTGACATCTGATGGTGAAAGAGTACAAAAGTTTGACTGTAATTCATTGAAAGTGGTCACCTCTCAACACTTTTTCACCAAAACTATCTGCACCCACAGTATGCCTGGTAGAAGTAGGTGCGATTTCCTTTAACTTGAGTGTGTGGGTGTACTCGGAGCTCGGGAACCGAACCGAACCAAGATACTGATGTCTCTGGCCGCGTATATTGGGTGAACAGCCATAAGCAGAGTAGCAGCTCACGGTTGTTCCAAAAACTGATGTATGGCCCTAATAGTCACACATATTCGAAGAAAACGACGCGTGTGATTGATGATTGTTCATAGCAGAATCACTCCATACCATTGAATAGCTGCTACAATGCCACTTAGCCTACCCTGGACTGCAGCAGAAGCAACGATTGTTGTTTGGAATGGGAAATGTTGATGTGGAAGTGGAAGTGTGCTGTAAAATGTATGTCGGGGGACCCCGCATCCTCCTGAACAGACAGAAGTGTTGGCGAGTGGGACAGACTGCAGGAGGAAATGAAATAATTTTTAAGGAGAGATAGAATGCGCATGTTTATTATTCATTTTTTTTTCTCTTGTTGTTTATTCTCAACTTGCGTTGTGTGTATTCTGTGGCAACTTTTTTTTCCTTCGACTTGCGCGCACTTTGGAGGTGCGAGTTTGAATTTTGCTTCACGTATGTACGTTCTGTGTACCTCAGTAGCCTACCGATGATGGTTGAAGACATAAACATCATGTACAACATAGCAGTCGATGCTTTTTTTGCTTTTATCAAACTCACCTACTCATCCAGCTACACTCACATCAAAGCGTAGTAAAAGATCAATATTTTTTCATGCAATGATGTTCGCATGATTTTTGTTTTCTGAAAATAAAATGATGATACCCTAATGATGGTAGATCAAAGCTAGCATTGAACATACGATTTCCAAGGCAATTGGATTTGAATGAACCATTGTTCAATATACTACTAGGTGGATTTGCTTTTATGTTTGTTATTTTTTTCGATTTATCGTCAGTGGTTGTGTACAAATTTGCTTAATTATTCGTTCTCTTTTTCTCGCGTTGTTGTTACTGGTCTTGTTTATTTTTTTTTTTTGAGATTTTGCTGTCCTTATCTCCCTTACACTCACGGGCTAGCTGGTTGACTGGAGTTCAGTGCAATTCAGAGTAGCATCGCAGAATGAAAAAAGTAACAGAATATGTATTATTTTTAAGCCTTTTATACTGTTTATGCTTCGAACTTGTTTTTTGCCTTTTCGTGTAAAACGTTTGCAACTTCTCTCGAATCAGCTTTCCTTCTCTCGCAGCATCTACCATCTCATCATTGAACGGATACGGACTGAGCATTCACAGCGGCATACAATCTTATTTCCCGTCGAACTGCCAATACCAGATGCTGGCTGACTGACCTCGAGCTACCGGAGAGCATTGAATGCCAAGTGAGAGTACAAGAGAGTACAAAGATGCCACTACTGTGAAAGCAAAATATAACTTCAAAGACAATAAACAACCACAGCAACAGAAATTCCAAATAAGACCTCTGCCTGGAGTTGGTGTAAAAGCTCTGTACCATGGAGAAAACCTCGAAAGGGAAAAATGGTCGACCAAAGTGGATTGCAGTTATGTTTGCTCGTTCTCTCTCTCTCTCTCTTTCTTCCTTGCACCTTCTCTGCATTTTCTCACTTGTCCATCCTCCAAAGTGGCCAGGTTCGAATAGCTCACGAAACGACAATCACAGCAACGCATTTGCTTGCTTGCCTTTCTACCAAGTCAACCACCATGAAAATATGTAGCTGACGAAACGATTGAGCAACGAAAAATGAAGTCGCAGCTCACAGCTCTGCATAGCATGGCCATGATTTGCCACAGATACACGCAGATGCTCCCTTAGTTTTTGGAATATGTATATATGCGCGAAACAACAAACCATCGATGTCGCTGGAGTGGCCACGACGACAACAGAATCAAGCGAGTTAACCAAGCGCTTCAGTGAAGCAGACATTTTGTACATGTATTTTCCCACTCTGCATTCTGCTGTTTGCTTGCTAAAATAAGTCTCTGCTTTGCCGAAATCAAGGCCAAATCTCGTATTTCCAGTGTAAACTAATTACCGACTTTTTTTCTTTCTTTGTTTTATTCGCATACAGATCTTCAGGCCATCCTGATATGAACTACTTTGTCATGGCCGTCCTGCCGATACCAGCTCGGAACATTGAAGGCTTTCCAAACTTTCATAGCATAGGTGATCCTCCTTCTTCATCACGCACAGCAGAGCAGAATCCAGTGTCAGTTTTGTCGTTATTAGATTTTGCGCTTGATCGCACCGCGTAGATCAACCGCAGAGTATCCACCGTTTAGAGGCATACGCGCAGCTAGTAGGAAGAACCTAGAGAGAACAATTTTAAAGAAAGGTAAGTGTCGGATGTCTCTTGATGGGTGGCTAAAATACCTTCATCTCTTGATTTATACCACCAACCTATGCAAACGAGAGCAAGTATGCACACCAAGTTCTATTTTTTTCATTCAGCAAAGTGGTTTGCTGAAAATGACCAGCAAAATTATTTTTACATGTTGTGATTACAGAAATCCCAGTAGAACAATACTATTTTTGTAAATCAGCATAAAATTAACTGTCCAAGGGGCTTATGATTTCCCGTATTAGTTGCACGATCTTTTAATAAAGGATACGGACGGACAAGGTAAAGCGTGATCTCAATTTTGGCATGCCTCGATTTTCAGATTCATTGCGCTCCCCGAATGCCGCATAGAGGCAACTTGAAAGATTTCCATTCTGGGAGGTTGCTTGCTTTTGACTTGACCTGAATCAAATATCTGTCGACTTGCTTGATTTCTTTGTCCTGTTGACATCGACGATCTAGTTGTGTGGTAACCAGGTACGAATTATATACAACAGGCATCGACAGAAAGCCTGCAGTATTTGAAAGTTCTGTACTGATAAGCCCCATGTTTCGTGGGCGTATAAAAGCTCAGAATTCCCGTTAGTATTGAAAATTCGGCTTTTGGAGTGTTGATTAATATGACTTGATATCCAGATATTTCGAATGCTAGCGAAGGCTGCCCTAGTCTTCTTGATTCGTTCACCTATGTCGCTCTTGTTCCAACTGTCGGACAGCGTATGACTACCACCACTGGTCTTGTTGACATTGATGGTGAGACCTACCTGCCATTCGAAGTCGTTGAGATGCTCCATAGTGATGGGCTTCCAAAGTAGCCCACTGTTCGGTACAATGTCAATTGCACCTACCTCGTCGATTACGATGAGGAACAGTAGCGGTAACTATCCGGATAGGGTAGGACAAAGCTCCATTATGCAGGACACTGCAAGTGAAAGCCATGAGGTTCATACGCGCTTCGATGAGGTTAATCCGGGACTCTCTTGAATACTAACTAACCAAGATGATACGGAGCGTGACAATAAGGGCCACACTAGCACACTAGATATTCCCGCACGAAATCCTGCCTGCTGTCGTCGGAGAGTCGCGTCGATGTTCTCTTGCAACAACACAACTTCTGATTTTTCTAAAAAAAATCAGGGCATACCGGTTTATCAATAGTTATGATACGTTTGATGAAAATGACGCACTTAAGGATTATTTATTGAAAATGTAACGTATTTTTCACTCAATTGTGACCCGTCGAAAAAGAAAATATCGATGGACAGCTAGTTTTGATTGAAAATCCCGAGAAAATCCAAGTAACTTCAAGCGAGTGCGAACTGCGCCATTGAGCAAAACTATTGTCTTTTACTTTTAGTGAATTGTTAATTAATTGTTAAAATTATTTGTCACGTAAAACGTATATATGTGTGAGTGTGTATTCAATCCATTTCCCATTCTTCGTTGCATACAGCGTAAATATTTACGTTTTTTTTTGACAAAATTAGTATAATCATGACAGATCCTGACGCAGTAGATCTCTTTTCTTCATTCACGTTGTTTTCAAAGATGAAATCGTCATGATTACCTGTGATTTTTGTCAATAATGTAAATATTTACATGTCTGGCTGTAATGCTTTTATGGAAGTTTAAGAGACGAACTAGCCTATGGCTAAAAATCTCTCAAAGGATAAAAAAAAAAAAAAATTATGGAAGAAAATTGTTTGCACCTATTTTTATACACATAGGGGCAGGAGGGGCATAGTGAGCATTCCGCACTTTAGCTCTGGATCTCCAGCTGCATGAAACAAATCAACTGGTAGTAGGTTCAATATCATTATGATATTGATCCTACCACCAACCAATTTGTTCCGAACGGCCGGAAGACCAAGCTGGGGCATGGGATGCTAACTATGATAACTCTACTGTACATCCAACGACTCATTGAGAAGAATGCCTGTTCATACACGTACATTCTGAGGTCTTCATATATAATAAGCCCCGCATGAACACATCGATATAAAACAGCCAAAAAAGGGTATCTTCTATTTAATTCCATTTAATTTATTTTGGTATCCATGGCAGATACGTATTTCGACTACAATGTGTAGTCTTCATCAGTGTCATTCCCACATCGATATATCAATTGGATACATATGATGCTTTTACATTTCCAGAATGAAAAAAAAAACTTTTTTTTTATTCTGGCGCGTATTTAGTACCGATTAGAAATTTTTATATAAATATGAGCAATAATAAATATAAAATTTAAAACTATCTCACCAACTTTCACTGATTCTTCACTATTTTGCCCAATTGGCATGCCTATTTGTGAACTTGTTGTCCTTCTCTGCATCGCTGCTAGCCTCACGAAAGTCTCCCATGTTATTTCTCTTGTGTTCCACGACATTTTGACGTCCATTATCTTTGTATGATGATCTTGAGTTCCTAGTTGCGTCTTATAAAACCGTAACACCAGTGCGAAAAATATCAATGTCCATCTCCGGGTATTTTCTTAACGAGCATCACTCCATTGTTGTATCGCATGTGCTCCATTTTGCTTCTCTTCTTTCACTTTTTCTTTGTTTACTCCATGGTACCGAAAAAATATATAGGGTAAGGTGGGGCAAGATGGGTCAGCTAGTACATATGTTAATTTATCAGGTTCAATGCAACCCTAATGATGGTTTGCTTTTTCAAACCAGCATTGGGGCTACATTAAGCCTGTCGATGTTGACAATCAATTAAATCAATAAATTAGGTAGATGACCCATCTTGCCTTACCTTACCCTATTATTAGTAATCCTGTTATATTAACACAATGGGATGGCCGTTCAGAATGGTTCAACGGATGTGAAATGAGGGAACATTTAAATTTAACGCGCTTTGAAGTATTTCAATGTAACATTCAATTTTTTAACTATCAATCAACACTTTTTTCATTATATCCTAACTAATTTCTGGAAGTATTTATTTGTGTTTTACACAAATAGTATCACATTTCATTCAGGTTCTTTGGAAATACATGTGAAATATGTGGCATCATTTTACTCACACATGATTCTGCCTCGACCAACCTGGCAGAACGCGCCCTAAACCTCACTGAACCAAAGGCCAGGGTAAAAATTATGTGCCGGTAAATATAACAAGTCTATGGAGATTACTGATAATTTTTCTCATTGAAAAATTGCTTGGCAAAATTCACCACACTTTTGCTGGTTCAAAGCAATAAGAACGAGTTTGTAGGCTTTTATTTCATTCTCACGTTGTTCTATTCAGCTGTTGTAAATCTCAATCGGGTTGAAGTTGATAACAACACCGTTCAATTTTCCATTCTCGACTATCCATTGAAAATCCAATGAAACGTTCTCCCTAACAAACTATATTTTCAGATAGAAACAGATCTAAATGGTAAATTTTGTCAAAGCGATTAAATATACGACTCTTAATTGTTCCTCAAAATCAGATCATTATCAGCATTTATCGTGGTGCGGTGTTCGGCGATTTTTTTTCTTTGATTATACCTAATCCGAAATCACATTACGTTGAAATGAAAGATTTCGTATCATATAAACGAATTTATGTCAAAACTGATATTAATTGCCTACATTTAGGCGTAGTTAAAATTATTTTACACGAAATTAAGCAGTTTTCCGAAATCAATGTAAGTTTTGTAAAAAAATCATCATTTTGAATTACTGTACCTGTTTGATCAGCTTCACTCGAGACGGAAAACTTGTATGTTTTTATTATTTAAACTTTAAATACATGCAGCATTTTTTTAAAATCTTTATTATAGAGATTTTTAGCTTGAAAATACATGCAGCAGAAATCCATTCGCCAGCATAACAAATATACGGTACGGTTCGAAAATTATTCAGGTTTATAAGTAAAAAATTATCAACTTCCCCCCGGTTTGCTTAGGTTACCTTACCATTCAGGCCTGGATGACCTTTACTTTACACAGAAGTCGTCTCCATTCCACTCGATGGTTGCATGTTGTGATCCAAAATGGCAAAATATGGAACTTTTTCAGGCAAGTCAGCTTTATAGTTGATCTAAGCTTTTAGAAGACTAGTTAAATTTGTATGCTCGTGAAATAAAGAATGATTATTATAGCGACTTACATGTGTTTTTTTGCATCAATCATTTTCTAGAATATAATAGGGGAAAATGGATGTAATGTTGGCCTAAATGCCCATAATTTGGGCCCATACATAAATTCAGCAATCGACTAAATTTTCAATAGCGACCAAAAATATCCATTAGTACAGTCCCAATGAGACGCGTTCATCTGGATAAAATTGATAAATAGCAGATTTTTAGCGATGGGCCCAATCTTAGATCCATATGCCAACATTAGAGCCATTTCCCCTATAATATATGAAAAAACAAGCCTACCGCACTCAAATATGGGTGGAATGTGACAAACCAAACCTTCATAAGTTTATAGTACTTGGCCTAAGCTTCCAGCTGATTGGTAGTTTTCGTGTCTCCACTTACCCTATTCTCCCCTATAAGCACATGAAGTTAATAAAAATACATTAAAAATGTGTTTTAACATTTCAAGGAATAATTATACCTTATTTCAGTCTTCGACAAAAACGTGTGTTTTTGCGGTTCTGATTATTGTCTAGAACACATTGTATGCTAAAAAATGAATCGCTTAAAAATTTTATTCAATAAACAAAATTTTAGAGACTTTCCAAAAAAAAATGCTGCATAAATCTAAAAATACTGGACTTTGAATTTTGCCTTCTTCGACAAAGTGCTTGTTTAGATATTGTCGACAAATTTGCTGAGGACATGATTCCTGTACATTTCCATTCAATTCTTATCATAGTAAGGCATGACTAATTTTTGTTACGGTCAAATTATGAAGGATGTTAATACGTACAAATTTTCTAAAGACACTTTATAGCAAAACTGAAAAGGTTAAAAGTTCATCTTTTTGCCATTTAGGGCCACAGTGCGCTGGCCACCAGCTATAAGGCGACCTGTCGCACTCCTGGCCGATTCACCTTGCCCACTGCACACCTCTTTTTTTCCAGAAACAATTTCACCGGTTTGTCGTTCGACATTCTTACGACGTGCTCAGACCACTGGAGTCGCACGATTTTTGCGGTGTACGGTGGATGATGGGTGGTTCTCCCAGCGGAAACCTACGCTAGATTAAGAAAGACTAAGTGCGGGTTGTGCTAATAGACCGGTAATGGGGTAGTTAACCCTATATGGCTTTCAGGATTCTTTTAAATCATATATTTCATTATGGAACAGATCATGGTCAAGATAAAACAAAATCTTGGGCAGAATATTCTTGCTTTATAACTGGGTCGAGAGAGGAGCCACCCAGTACTTTCATCAATTCGTGCTTACATGAGATCATAATTGTAATACAGTATTTTGTTTTCCTCTTCTACTAGGTGTCATCGTTTATTCTCTTTTAATTTGATGTGAAAATCAGTATACTGCGAAGGAAAATGTCCGCTACGTCGTCTATTAGTTCGACTCATTCGTCCAGCAATAGCGGCAACAGCGGTAACAACATTAGCAACAGCAATCCCAATAACGTGATTTCGTCTGCATCAAACATTGTTATTCTGGATAATCAAATCCTAGATAGCAACGATGTTGTGGCGGCCGCAGGACTTCAACAACTTTCCAGTGCAGGAGCAGGAGGCCTGAAGTTGACGAGGGATTGCGCCGTGCAGTATTCGAATTTAATCAGCAGCTACACAGCGAGTAGCAACAACAGTGGTAATAACCACGGTAATACAAATATCGTAGGAGGAAACAGTAGCTCCCAAATGAATACAGTAAATATCATCCAAGGGGATGCAACCCAGACAAACTCTCGAGTCCAAGTTCTAAGCAATGTGCAACTGGTCTCTTCTAAGGGTGCTTCCCAGCCGTCTACGTTCAGCTACGTAGATGCTAGCGGTAAGAATTTCAACGTTCTTACCTCCAGTGGTAAGCTCAGTACAAACAAGCTGATAAGCGTACCAATTACAAAAGTGAAAACATTTAATCACATTGGACAGCAGCAGCAGCAGCAGCAGCAGCAACAACAACAACAACAACAACAACAACAACAACAACAACAACAACAACAACAACAACAACAACAACAACAACAACAACAACAACAACAACAACAACAGCAACAGTTGCCGTCACAACAAACGCAAATTGTGTCATCCCAGATGCCACACCAGTCACAATCACAAACACAATCGCATGGTACTAGTGTTCAAAAAGTTACAGTGCCACGAAACATCCAATTGGTGACGAGGATACCGAATTCAACCATTTCCGTAAGCAATGGGCGCGTATCACAGATTACGCCAACGTTATCGTCATCTTCCCAGCAACAGCAGCAGCCGACACCGCAATTCACTATCCAGCAATACCCGGACTCTAGTGCAAACATCCCACCGAGTTTGGAGATTCGGTCATCGGCATCAGGCCCGATCATCAATAGTACTAACACTAGCAATATCGGCAAAGCTGTATCCACTAAAAGCAAAAATGCAGCATCGTTGAAGATGATGCAAAACTCTCAAATCACCCAGCCAAGTACGACGACGACGACCAAATCGGTGGGTAAAGGCGTGAGTGTGAATCTGAAGAGTGTACGGAACAATTCCAAAACCACCGTTTCGGGAGTCAATTCGCAATACTATATTAAAAACTCGTCCAATGGAACCATGCCACAACCGGGAACTACAACATCTATTTACACGACGTCACCGGCTCAAGCAGTGTACCATAATCCGACGCCTCATCCGCCTCAACATCCGATGCAAATTCCCATCAACACGGCTACCGGTAAAAGTAGGGGTGTATACAAAACATCAAAAAATCAGCTGATTCAGATACAGCAGCAACAACAACAGCAACCCCATCAATCCCCACAAAGGTCGTTGACTCCATCGTCGAGTCCGGTCGGTGGAACTATGCCACCTAATGTAACCTATGCAGGTACTGGCACAACAACGATGGTGCAAAGTAACGTCAACAATCGTTACCAAAACTACAACTCGTACCCAATCCCAGCCTCTCAGTCCCAGTCCAGTAGTACAACGTCATCTGTCAGCAGTAACTATAAACAGTTTAATCATCATCTCTACCAAGGTGCTACTTCGTCGTCTTCAGTGACGTTCGATTCATCTGGTTCGTCTACGATGACAATGTCAGGTGGAGGTGGCGGTCATCATGAACATCCCATTCCATCGGTTACAGTCACCGGGTACAGCAGTTCCACCGGGAAAAACAAAAAATATGCTTCCGTCATTCAAAACGAAAGCAACAATCCCACATTCGTGTTGTCACCGGTGAAAACGAAAGGCACTGGACGGGGTCGTAACAACAGTACGTCAAACTACCAACCAGTCGAAGCAGTACCCTATCAACGGTATTCGGCCTCTCCATCCAGACCACACCAGCAACAACAACAGCAGCAGCAACAATTCCAAACAACATCGCCCCTTACCAGTGGTCCAGGCCAGTATCATCAACAAGCCACTGCCGTTGGCCGAGATGATCAAATTTTCCTCAACGGACAGCAAATGACCGACGAATCATCTGCGCGAATTCTTCAAAGCTTGTCCCAGCGATCATCTGAGTCGGGTAAATATGGTGGCTATAAGCAACAACATCAACAGCAGTTCACCTTCTATGGTTCGGACAATGTACCTCACTCATCTACCAGTAACGTGGGACCGGGTGGCAGCAGTGCAAACACAGCAGGAATTATCTATGATCCAAGTGACGTTCGGTTTTACGAGGATAAACACGATGGCAGGAGGTCAAGGTGGGTTCATTAGGTTTTATTCTTGTGGTCAAATGTACAATAAATTATTTTTTCTTCACAGCTCTTCGGAGGTCATCACCTACGCGGATAACATTCCACTCCGCGAAGGGTATCCATCATCGTATAACTACAACCATCGCGATGATGATGATCACATTGGTGAGGAAGTGAGGCCCGCTCCGGTTGATACCTCCAATGGCAGGTATCACATCCTCCAGGCGGTCCTTCAGGATCACACCTATTTCGCATCATTGCCGGAGGTGAAGTTACCGGAACCTCAGCCACCACCAGCTCCAACTTTGCCGCAGCAAACCCAATTGCTTCAGACAAGCATACCTGCTACTATATCACACCATCAACCTCCTCCTCTACACCATCATCAAAATCATCCTCAACAGCAGCAGCAGCAGCAACATTATCAACAGATACTATCTTCCTCTCACCACCAGCACTATTTGCAGCAATCTCAATCATCGCAATCGCACCAGCAACCAACGAATTACAAACAGCAAACCAGCTTGCCTACGTCCGTTGCTTCGACTGTTATGCCACCATCCTCGACCTCAGTTAACATTACAATTCCGTCGACTGGTGTCCCAGTTCCGTTGACTCAAGTGAACTTGGGTACGTTGGTTTCCATCAGCGGAAGTGCTGCAGTTGGTGGTAGCTTGAGTTCACCTGTTTGTACATCGACTGTTACGACAACCACTCCATCAGCCCTCATGATTGGTAAACAGCAGCAACCGCAATCGATCATTCCGGGCAGTGCCCTGGATTATATCTACCAACGGCAATCGATTCCACCCCAAGATGATGATGCCAATTCGGTTATCAGTACTGGATCTCGTAATTACAACAACATGGATATTGATCTGGGCGAGGAAACCGAAACTGCACCGGAAGGGGAAGGTGAAGACGATTCCGTCACGCGATGTATTTGTGATCTGACGCATGACGATGGCTACATGATATGCTGTGATAAGTGCTCGTAAGTAATCAAAATAACTTGTTGTACATTTTATACATTTATATCAATCTAACAGTCGTATTCTTCATGTTCATGACAGCGCCTGGCAACACGTGGACTGTATGGGCATCGATCGGATGAACATCCCGGACGAGTACAATTGTGAGATGTGTCAACCAAGGCCTGTCGATCGAACCCGTGCCCGAACGCTGCAAATGGAGAAGCGGAAGGAGCAGTCGCTTATCCTGGCGAACAATAATCTTCAAATACCGGTGGCTGATGCTGCCGTAACAAGTACGAATTTGATGGGCGTTGCCGGAGTGGTTCCAGTGACTACCACCACCAGTGGAAAAGGTGCTAATCAGTACACTACCGGCAAGATCTTGGCAGGGTCGAAGAAAAACAAAGCTTCTGGTGGTAGTTCCAAGAAAAAAACAGGCGAAAGTGCGGCAGTTAAAAAGGCTACCAAGAAAGCGTTGGATGCTCTGAATCGAGTAAATGGGAAGAGGAAGGAACTTAAGAAACCATCGAAAAAGAAAGTGAAAACCACAGAGCAAAACGCAGAGAAGATGTCCAACATGATCCGGACATGGATCGATAACTACGAGCGTGCCATTACGAATCATTATTCGCCGGAACTGCGGGCACGATTGCAGGCGTTCGGCAAGATGCAATCGCAGAATCCGCTTCTGAACTCGGAACATTTGATTCCAGCTACCACGCCGGTGGCTAATCTTGCGCAAAAATGCACCACTGTTCCACATGCTGGTGGAAAAATTCTGATCAGTATAGAGGAAATTGAACCAAAGACTCCTATCATCGAAATACGAGGGAAATACATGCTCTCTTCTCAGCACAAACCGCTTCAGTCATTGTTCAACATGGCAGCCAACGGCAAGCTGAGCAATAACAAGAATGCTGGACCATTTTTGTTCCTATATCAAGTGAGCCAAGGTGGAATTGAGCTTTGTGTTGACACTAGGACCTACGGCAATGATGCACGATTTGTCCGGAGGTCCTGCAGACCGAATGCCGAAATCCTACACAATGTGGAAAAAGGAGTTGTGCATTTGTACGTTGTTTCTACGGCAAACATCAAAGCCAACACTGAGATTACCATCAAACATGACGAACAGCTTATTCAGAGGGTAGGTGGGGTTGTCATATTGACACATACTACCGTGACGAAGCTTTGCGCCTGTGGCCTAATCAAAGAGTGTCAATATTCGTCGCAACTAAGTGATGGCCTGCTTCCTACAGGTAATGCTATTGGAACGGCTGTTGCTGCTACCAGCGGTACCCTGCAGGCGGCTCAAGGAGGTGTGTGCAGTACAACGACTGCGATTCCGAAACCTACAAAGGTCAAGAAAAATAATGGTGCTCTTGGTGATGGTGAGAAAAAGCCTGCTAAAAAGCGAAATAGTCGTTCAACCAGCTCAAACCCTGAAACAAGGTTGAGGTCAATATCGTCCAGTGGAGACAGTACCAGTGAAATGATGCTTTACGTCCAACAACAGCAACAACAGCAGCAGCAACAACAGCAACAACAGCAGCAACAACAGCAGCAACAACAGCAACAACAGCAGCAGCAGCAACAACAACAGCAGCAGCAACAACAACAACAAAACTCAGGCCCCATTCAGCAGTCTCCTTTACCGCAACAACAACCCCCTCTGTCTCCTATGCAACCGACGTTCCAACCAACTCCGTCGCAACTAGTTCATCAACAACTACAGCAGACGGCATTACATTTCATGCAACAATCTCAGCCTGGTTTAATGCAACCGTCGCAACCGGTGTACATGTATAGTCCACCACTTACTCATCAATCACAACCTCCTGCGGCACAACCACCGGTACAGTTGCCACCACCGGTACAGTTGCAACCACCTGTACTGTTGCAGTCACCGGTAGTGCACCCACCAACAGTACAGTTGCAATCACCAGTACAGTTGCAATCACCGGTACAGTTGCAACCACCGGTACAGTTGCAACCAACGGTACAATTGGAACAAACGGTACAGTTTGAACCACCGGTACAGGTGCAATCTTCGATAGTGCACCCACCAACACCTCCTCCTCATCCTGTGCCGCCGATGAGTCCGGTCATGAATGTCAGCCACCGGGCAGGATTTTATACGGAAATCAAGTCTCCGATGAATTCGCCGCCACCTCTCAATTTGAGCGGACCACCACCATTGGTAATCCCCGCTTTGCCATCTTCTATCAAGCCATCGTCTCAGCATCCTCCTCCACTGCAACCAATGACGGACAAATCACCGCCAGTAGTTCCAACACCGATGAATGTCCCTGCACTAGCCATTCCCAGTCTTTCCCAACCATCGCAAGATCAGGCCCGTCAGGAGTTCCAGCAGCAACAGCACTTTCATCAGCAGCAAATTATGGAAGAGATTATTAAAATCAAAATTAAATCCCCCAAAGCTAGTCCAATGAAACAGGAATACTTGCCGACTCTGTCATCAACGACGACGACGACGACGACGACAACGACCAGTATGTTGTCACCACCACCTCCACCGCCAAATCCGATCGCTCTGCGTCTACGTTGTGCGGAAAGTCTAAAGCAGGAGCTATTTCATTCTCACTATCAGCCTCAGGTGAGGCCACCATCGCCATCGCCATCTCCTCCTCCTCCTCCAACTCCTACAATTCAAACTCCAGTAAAAGCGGAATACTCTCCGCCTGTCGAACCAAAACAGGAAGCTGTACCTATCGTAGAACCACAACCTGTAGTAGTGAAAGATGAAAAACCCTCAGTGATGGTGGAGATCAAAACTGAAGAAGACATTAAACCAGAGCCGTTGCCAGAACCAGATCCGGTTGTTAAATTAGAGGATCCGTTACCTCCTAGCAGCATCAAGACAGAGGAAGCTGAGCCCATCGAAGAGGAATCTCCAGTGAAGGAAGTGAAAGAAGAACCACCCATGCCACAGGAGCAGGATAGCAAAGAAGGAATTGACTCTGCAAGTCTTTGTGGCAGTGCCACTAGTTCTCCGGTAAAGTCACATCCTACGGCCGGAAATGCCGGAAACAGCACAAACAGTTCGCCGCATTCAACCTCGTCACAACATCATCCCCACAGTGGTGGTAGCAACAGTAGTAGCAAAAAGAAGAGTAATCCTTTCAGGGAAACAGAAACGGAGAAAAAGGAAAAGCCTCCCTCAAGGAAGCTGACGCGGGAGGAGCGGAAAATGGAAGCCATCGTTAAAGCATTCGAAAAGATGGAACAGTCTCAACAACGGAAACAGGAACTCAAAGAACAACGCAAAGAAGGAAAACGAAGAAGTGTTTCATCGTCCACTCCGGATGAAGGAATACCGACGGGTGGTAGCTCGGCCAAGAAGAAAAGCATCAGCTCACAAAAACGTAAGAAGAAAAAGAGCAAATCACTCAGCCAGCATTTTGGTTCGCCCAATCAGAGTCGTAAGAAGAAAGTGTCCAAGTCGTCCAAAAAGAGCAAAAATGCCAGAGCGCTTTCGCTGGACCAGGAATCATCCAACCGGCCGTACGAGAGTAAGGCAGCCGAATTGTTGCTCACATTCTCGCAATCGGCAGAACAGTCGACGAAATCATCTTACTTTGGAGACGATGTAAAACCTCTTGCGGAAACTGCTACACCAAACAATAATAGCAGCGAATCAATAGTTGCAACAACGGCGCCCAACTTACCATTGTTGAGTCCTGCTTGTATGCTGGTTGAAGCTGCCGTTGGTCCCTTGGAACAGGCATCGGGTGGATCCGCGGTAGAGCAAGACTTCAAATTCCCACAGAAGGCAAAAACGAAGAAGAGTATGAGTCGAGAGTGGCTAAGTGGTCAGGCTGCGGATGCCTATAGAAGGAATACACCGGATCAGGACTCTGGGTATATGAGTGAGGAGAAATCACATGACTACAGAAGGACACCGTTTGAGGAGAACAGTCTAACTCCCTTGGGTGTAGATGTCAGCGATCCGAGTATCTGTATCGTCGCGAAGAAGGTAGAAGAATTCATTGCCCAGAATTCACCGCAACCTGACGAAGTCGCTGCTGTGTGTAAGTGGGACGAAAAGGTAAACACAAGTTCCGTTACAGTGAGCAATTCGCAGGAACATCATCAAACACCCGTCAGCGCAGGAAACGTATCGGAAAGTGCTGCCGCCAAAAAACGATGGTTACGACAGGCCATTTCCGAGGAAACGGATGAACTGACACAAGCTTCCTCATCACCACCACCACCCAATGGGTTTACGACTCCACTCAAGAAACGACGTGTCATACGGCAATCGGAAGATACGCCTCAGCCTCAATCCCAGCAGCAGCCGCAACAACCCACTTTGTTGTCGGCTCAGAAGATTGACTTTGCTGACCATTTGACACCGCCACATCATCCACAGATGGTTGTGATCAATCCCCAACAGACCTATCCGGAAAGTGGTATGCAGTGGTCGAATTCGGGACCACCTCCATTGTCGTACCCTTTTGGTATATCTGAGGATAAACAGGCCATGGATCTCTCGAGGACGGCAGTGCCTCCGTTACTGATGGTCCAACAGCAAAGGATACAGCCCTACAAAATGGTACCCATTGCGCAAGCGCTGACACCACTGCATTTCACTGATCCAGACCCTTTACCTAGCCCACCGGTAGCTCCGGTTCTAATTCCCCCACCAGCAGTAGCACAAGTGCAAGCCCATCACCAACTCATTTCTCAGGAATCTCGGGAAATCATACGGCAGACATCTACGTCGTCGTTGGGAACTCAGCAACTTGCATCAACATCCATTGCCGATTATGAGAAACTCCCGCCACCGCCTCCATCGGCAGTGGCTGCAATGGTTCCGGCTTCTCTTCTTCCACCTGAAGTACCGTTGGTGGTACCTCCAGAACCACTTCAACAACAACAACAACAACAGCAGCAGCAGCATCAGCAACATGCCAGAATGGATGTTAGTTACCCAAGTCTAGCGCTGGCTCCAGGCATTACTCGTAGTAAAGGTAGTCAAAAGTACATCGGTAGTCCTGCCAAATTCGAACCCCCATCACCATCGGAATCGCTCAGTTCTGGAGTGGCGGAAACACCAGAAAAGAATTCAGTTACAAGCTGTTACAGCAGTGAAAGTATTGTCAATTCCGATGTGGAAGAGGATGCTACAACTGAGGAGCAAGTGGTTAGTGCGAGTCTCAAACCGGAAGTGGAATCCGTGGAGGAGCCAATATTGGCAGCTGCTATACAGGAACCTGAATGTGTCACGGATGAACCGACTATGGAAACGCAGGAGGATGCAGAAAGTGAAAGTGTCACAGCCACCGACAGTTCAACGACAATCGTTAGTGCTGAAAGTACCGAGGTGCTAATTCTGAAACCAGTGCTAGAGAAAGAATCCGAAACAGTACAACAAGAAGAAGTGGTGATAAGTGAAGTTGTAGAAGAAGTAGAAGAGGGACAAATGGAAGTGAGCCAAACGGTGGAAACCACGAGTGAACTGACTGTTGTTTCGCAAGCGGAGGAAATCCTAGAAGAGCCTCAAGAAGAACTCACGAGACCTTCTCCATCACCAATGGAAGTTGATGGCGGTGCTCCACGTGTAGACACAGTTGATAATGTCCCGGCCTTAAATGGTAGTGAGAAAAAACTGTTGGTAGCTCCCGAAGAAGATCATGAAAAGAATGAGCTGGAAGATTTGCAGAAGGTGATTGCTTCGTTCCATTCCGAGAACATTATGAACCTCATTTCGCGGAATAAGAAATCGAAGAAAATCGTTAGCCGGAAGAACAGTGCGGATGAGAAATCTCATTCTTCAAGGAAACCAGCGAAAAGTAGATCGAATGCTTCAAGCAAGGAAGGAAGTATCACACCTACAGCTCCCCAGTCACCCCCATCCGAAGAACAGGAAGTTCTGGAATGTTTTGAAAACGTTATATTGGAAAGCACCCCGGAAGTACGAAATCTATGCGATCCTCCAGCACCAGAACCAGTTCCTGCACCAGTTCCTTCTCCAACAGACGAAATGCCGATCTCAACGCTAGGCCGAACTTATTCTCATTCATCTTGGCATGCAACGGAGAACTTCCGGGAGACAGCTGAAGTACGAAGCTATTCAACCCTTCGACCGGACATTCCACAGATTAACTACAACTCACCTAGTACGTATCAATCGAAAGCTGCTCGTGAACTTTTATCGTCGCTATCTGCCGGATCTGAGCCACTTTCCAGTTTTACAAGCTACCGCTCCAGCACATCATCCTTCCTGGACTATCCGAAGTCATCGATAGGAGGAAGTACGGCTGCAACGGGCAATACCACTAGCAGCACCTTCCAATATCGATCGTCCAACGAAATCACTACACTCCTGGAGAAGGGTTTCTCCAGTTCACGACCGTCCAGTTTCTCTTCGCTTGGGTCAGACCGAAGTACGGATCGAGTTGGCAGTTCGTACTTGCTTTCGTCGACCAAAGTAACGGATAATCTCTCGACGCTAGGATCGACAAGCACTACCTATCCGAAGATCTACACTAAAACGGCTAGTTCAGATCCACGGCTGAACCCGGCATTGACTACTCCGGAACCGCCAGCAGCAGTTACACCGAAACGGAAGCTCTCTATCAATGAATACCGTCAGAGAAAGATGCAGTCGTGCAGCACCTCAACGACAGTGACGGCAGCGGCGAATACTACGGCAGCAGCGACAACTCCAGATGCTCCTTGCAGCATCTCAACCGCAAGCAACTGCAGCAACAGCAGTAGCAGTGATTCTGGTGGAAGCAACCAGATTAGCAGTAGCCTCGGTAGCAACGACGTCAGCAGTTCTATCTGCAAGGAGCTGGAATTGGAACTGGAACTCGGAGGAGAAAAGTCGTCGGCAATGGAGGACAGCGGTAGTAGCAGTTTCTCTAGCGAAACGGTATCCAAGACGACGGTGGCATTCGCCGGTACGAGCGAACCTAGCTCAACCGAGGAGACAGGTGAGTCACTTTAAACAGGGTTGAGTTAATTTTTTTTTCTGAAACGGACCTTTTGCTTACAGTGTGAATCGATGTACATGGATTACCGGTGAGGGATGGAACAGACTGCAGTTGAAACTGTGCCGAAACGGGTTGAATCGAACTCAATAGGTACAATTCAACAGAACGATGCTAGGGGAAGATCTTGGAGGTAAGAGTTGGGATTTTTCCTATTCACACTAGCTGCCGAGGTAGTTGGGGGAATTCACAAACAATTGAGATTTGATTAATTCGCCTTCAAAAAACCAAGCCTAAATGTTTGTTTTTTTGCAGTGCATTGCATTTTGCCCCTGTATCAGCTTAACCAAAAAACTTGAAAGCATGACCTACGCGTTGGTAACTAACAGTAGCAGAAGCAACAACAACAAGGAGATGACATACACAAATTACAAAAGCAATTAGACGCAGTCTTGGATGGCACGCTGGTTGCAGTGCGAACTTGCCCGGAAACGTAGCCAACAGTTGCGGAGTGATACACATAGTGTTGTAAATGGAGAAAGGGAGAGACATAGAGCGATAGAAAGAGTGCGTGTGAGCAGAGAGATCTTTTGTATTGTTTTGCCAGGAACAGTTTGAAAGGAAAATATCTACTTCTTGTGGAAGTACAAGCGATTCATAGGATATATTGTGATGTTCTGATGAAGCTGCTAGGATGATAACTGTATTTGTAATATTGTAGTATAGGATTAAGAGTAGTAATCGAATAGCGTTAGCGGGAGATCCCGCTGCAATTTGAAGTCATTTTTTTATGATAATGATGATGAAATTCAACAAAAGTGCGTGTGAAACATCCATGTAGAATAAATGCATTGTATAAACTGTAACATTCGAACATTGTGACCTTTTTTTCCGTTTGCTGCTGTCCCATTTTATTTAACAGGCATTAAACAAATAATATATGCAAGTATTCAGACAACTAGACATGACTATGTGCTCAAAAATTCAAGGAACTACCAGTTTTGAGTATGAGTCGGTCTATTAATACCCACCATAGTGTAGATCAGAGACAGGTCAGAATTTAGCAACGATGCTCTGTCGGATTCTGTTGAAAATCATTTTGTATAAACAAGTAGAACAGAAAACAAGATAAATTGAATCGCGAAGACTGATAACAGATGTTGTGAAGCTGTATATTTTGTACATGAACTAGAACAAGTATAACCATCGGTCGATAACAGTAGCGAGTGCAGTAGATACAGCGATAGGCATTTTATCCCCACTCGTTTGCCATGTGGATCCGATGGAGCGTCGTTATTTTCTGTTTTTGTTTCAGACCATCCAGTGAATATAGTGTAAATAGCCAGCAATAATATTCCCCCAAAACCCACCTACTTGTAGAGACAGCACTTGGAAAATATCCCACTGTGTAAATACGTGTATGTACTACTAATTTGCGAAGCAAGTGCATTCTAACACCTACCAGTTTGCTATTGTGAGGCATGGACAAGATTCTACTCTTAATCAAAACAAATGTCTACTTATACCGAAATGCTAATTTACAAAACTAAATCGACAAACAAAACACAAAACGACAACAAACATGGTGTAAAATAGTACAAATAGCATGTATAAAAAGTAAATTTAAAAGCAAACTGCAGAAAAAGAAAACGAATAACAAGTCACTTAAAGTGGGAGGTAAGCAAATCTATAGCTAATAACGGAAGTAAAAAACAACTTGCATAGCTAAATTAGCTCGTACGTATTTACGTTAGTAGCACTCGCTGGTGAGAGGTAAACTAATGATAATAAAATGACAGCAGTACGACTAAACAATGATATAATGTAGCGCTCGCAGGCGAAAAGGATTTTAAAATCAAAATAAAAGCTATATCCCTCCTGTATCTTGGTTTTGCACTCTGAAAAAAAAAATACAATAGCAGAAGTACGGGGAGAGAAACCAAGGTACAGGGGAGAATCCCACGTCATCTCGTATTAAAATTAAAACAAGTTTAAATCTTACCAGGCTAAGCAAATTTAAGCATTAAATTATTGACGCTAAAAGTAAGTTATTAATTAAAACAACATCAAACCATTAATGGATATATGCTCATTCATTCGCTCGTTGCAAGTGAAACGCAAAGTAAAATCCTACTAATATTGAATAACAAACACCTTAGAAAACATACCTTTTTGTTGTTGCTTTGTATCGATTTTATTTATCCCGCTATCGAATAGGTGATAATGATTAACCGCGGTTAAGACAGACAAAAAGAAAGCCTACTTTTTAAGCTTCAAATTTTAAACTCAAAAATCAAATACAAGGAAAAAATCTCGGACAAATGCAGTGCGTTTGGAGAGGAAGAGGACATTCGATTCTCCCGTAGGAGTATGTACATAAAACAGAGGTGACACAAATAGGTCCCGCTACTGATAGTGCTATTAGTGCTTTTCTCACCTATCTTATAACCTAAGACAGCGCGTAGTGGAAATTAAGGAACACTATTCTGTTAGACACTTAAGGTAAAATAATGCAAATGCTAAAACCCAGACATTGGATACCTATTGCAAGAAAGATACCCATAGAGTATATTATGTTTAAATGTTCTTTTTTGTATATTTATATTTTTTAAAAAATGGTCTAAGTTGATTGAAAAACGAAAAAATGCAGAAAAAAGTAAACTACACATGTAATATATATACAGACAAAAATCATGATCATGATTGAAATCAAGAAATATAAAATCAATTGAAAAAATTATTTGTCGCTTGTGCCTGTTTCTCCGATGACAGTTCCATGCATATAGACGATTCTATGGATATTCGCCCGGATGGACCATTTTTCAATCATCTTAAGGTGATACGATCCAGCGTCCACAAATCATATTAATTAATTACTTTATTTTTACAGGCTTACAGAGCCGAGTTATCATTTTCGTTATACATTATTAATGTCTTAAATTTAAAGTTAAAGGAACTGGACCGAATACTCGCTGTTGTCTCGAGGTTAGTGGAGATTTTCAATTTTTTTGATGGGAAAATGGAGAAGGAGGTTTGAAATGTGGTTTACGATACAAATATTTAATTATTGTTATTGTGCCATGCTGGAGGGGCATTGAGCCTGGTCACCAGTGTAATGTTGATGACCAATTATACACCTTCCATGCAGCAATCAAATAGACAAAGATGAGATGGCTCTTATAAGATCTATAGATAATGACTTATGCGAGTCGATTGAAATCAGCCGAATATGAAATAAGGGTTAAGTTGATCCTTAACATAGAAGCGTAGATGCATAGGTGAACGATAAGGAGAGGCAAAGGTGTTGAAATGCAGAATTAGATGTCGTCGAGATTGAATGCGCATGTTTAAATAACGTTGATCCAAATACCTATCGTATAAATTTGCATATCATATAGTTATGATTATTGTCAATAATACTTACATTTCGTTAAAAATGATGCTACCTATTTTACCTTTTATGTGATACTCATCATCACAGAATCCAAACTTGAATCGTTCCGAGAAGGGACTCATGGTCATCTTCTTCTTCTTCAGGTTCGCTCACCACCCGGAATGAAGGCTCGGTGCGGTTAGTAATATCAAACAGTGTTAGATCAGTCCGTATCGTGCTCTCTTGCCGTGCGGATCTATTTCGCTTTTTGCTGAAGTGTTACTACTACCTAAAGCTACAACAAATTTAAACAGCACTTTTCAGTGCTCAACCTGTAAAATTTCTACCTTGTTCAACTCTTATATCTCTTCGATCCTTGTTTGCACCCTACCCGAGGAAATCCTTCTTAGATATCGATTTGAAAATTTCCTCTTCGATCCTTCAGATTCTTATAGCAATCTGCTTGGAAGTCGATTTGGATAAAAATTTACTGCCGCCATGGCGCCTAAACGCAAAAGAAAGGGACAAACTCTTGATCCTCCTTTTGATGAAATTAATTTGAGTAATCAATTTGATTTGCTCACGGATGATGGGAATGATCCATCATCCAAGAAAAATTCAAGTAAACTTTCCCGGCTTAATGCCAAGAAGGAAAAGATTCCCCCTATTGTGATAACCACTTCCGATTTCCATGCTCTTCGCATGGAACTTTTGAACTTCGTGAAAGTTAAGTTTTCACTACAAATTGGACGTCGGGGTGAATGCCGTGAATTGGCTGAAACCTTGGGCGGATTTAAATGCCTTCTCAAGTACACTGGAGTCGCTTTTTACGCGGGTGATACGTCCCGCGTAAATTCCGGAATCAGCGTAAAAAACCGCGTAAATTCCGGAATCCGCGTAAAAAAAGACCGTGTAAAAAAAAAACGCGTAAAAAGCGACTCTAGTGTATCTTACTGAGAAGCAGCACAAATTTTGACGTAGGACTGCGTCTGTGATTTCTATATGGGGGTACACTTTGTGAAAAACGAAAATGGAACATGTAACGAAATTATGAAAGATTTTGAACGTTAATAACTCAGTTGCCCCTGGACCAATTTCAATAATTTTATCACCACTCGATCAGACATATTTCTACGCATCTGCTAAATTTATGACTTTCATTTTTCAAAATGTTACTATTGAAAATTGCACGAATGTGCAATTGTTGCTATGACAATTAAAATTATCACCGATTGCCTGCAAATGCGATTTCCCTAACACAGATTTCAAAGTTAAATTCCATCCAGTCTCACCAAACGGTGTTTATTAAATCACCGCGTGGCAAGTGGTGGTGTTCTCCAGTACACAACGAAAGGCTCCCTGCAAGCATCTAGCAATCAAGACTGCCTTCAACCGCTGATCGGATTTAGTTCCAATCACCGCGTATGGTGGTGTCCGGTCGTTGGCATCAGCAGCAGCACTGCTTTCGGCGCGTGGTGTTGAACATTGTTCTCCAGTATACAACGAAAGGCTTCCCGCAAGCAGCGAGCTGCAGTCCATCCATGAGCATCCATAGAAGGAGGAATAAGCCGCACCGCAGTAGCTGCTGTGGGCCATCTATGCTAAGCGCGTCACCCTCAAACAACACACAGCTCACCAACCTCATCTGTATTTAACACCCTAATCGCTCAGAGCATTACTCAGCCACCACTATAAAGTGGTCCTTTTCAGGACTACCATAAATTTGTTAAAGAGTATTTTTTGGACATTTGTCAAGGTCATCAGTCGGATGTCAGTTCCTATATTTTTAAATCTAACATAAGTACCATGTATTTTAAGGCAACATTGGGAGTGTAATTTCAAAAGCCATAGTCGGTCGCGGCATGAAAGTGGTCTGATGTTAAACCAGAGATGATGGATTTAAATTCTTAATACGCCAATCGATACGATTTTTTTCTATTTCTACGAATCTTTTAAAATTAAGTTACTATTGAAAATTGCACGGATGTGCAACTGTTGCTATGATAATTGAAATTATTACCGATTGCCTGCAAAAAACGCTTTCCCTAACACAGATTTCAAAGTTGAATTCCATCCGGTCTCATCAAACGATGTTTATTCAATCACCGCGTGGTGAGTGGTGGTGTTCTTCAGTACACAACAAAACTCTCCCCACCAAGCAGCTAGCCCCCAAGGCTGCCCCATACTGCCCAACTAAAATTTTTATCAAAAGGTACTTTTCCGGGCAATGATAGTCATACTAAAAAGTATAAATAGATAGAACCCCACTTAAATTTCTATTCCTACACAAAACACAAGCTCCTGCTGCAGTTAACAAAAAACATTTATTATTTAAGACCACGTAGTCCTACGCCACCATTGCGTACAACCCCGTATGGCTGTCTCTTGTAGTTTTTTTTACTTACGACACCAAAGCTGAACGTGTGTTCAAGGTTGTCATGAAAGGACTGCCCAGTGGTGAATCCCTGGATCAGATCAAAGATGAACTGGCAAAATTACTTGGAGTTGTGCCACTCCAAGTAATCAAAATGAAAATGAAATCCCGTCCTGGCGATTCGCGCAACGGGATTTCTAATGATTTTTATTTAGTTCACTTCAAATCTAGTGAACTAAACAACCTTAAGGCCTTAGAAAAAGCTAGCCTTATGCTCCATGTCCGAGTGAAGTGGGAGCACTTCAGGAAGACTGGAGGACATTTCCAAAACCTCACCCAGTGTCGTACGTGCCAGGGATCTAAAAAATTGCTACATGCCAGCTAAATGCATGAATTGTAGTGATTCCTCTCACGCAAAGGACGACTGTCCTGTGAAGGAAGATCCTAAGAAATTTAAATGTTCAAATTGTGGTGAAAACCACAAATCCATTTTTTGGGAATGTACGACTCGCAAAGCGATCTTACAATCGCGTTTTAAGCGACAGGTAGGAAACGCTCCACGTTTCCGAAAAGGTACAAATTACTCTGCTGTTAACAACGGTCAGCGAGGAACAAATTCTACATTCGTACCCGTAGGTACAAATATCACCCCTGCTTCAAATTTTTCATCTATACCTACTCCCATCGCTGCTAACAATGTTCTGCTAGTTATTGGAGCTACCTATTCTGCTATTGCACCGGGTAGAAATCAAAATACTAACCAACGTAATTCTAACGGAAATTTTGGCAATTTTGACTTAGGAAGCATTTGGACCTATTGGACCTCGAGTGAGGTGACTCTCCATTTGATTTGCACGGAGAGTCACCTCGCCCGAGGTGACATTTGTCACTTCACAAATGATAGTGTGTCACCTCACCTCACACGCCGCGCAGAATAGGCCAAATTACTGCCCCTAAAATGGAATTTTTACAGAAATCATTAATTGACATGATTTCTGATATGCTTAAATCTAATCTCATGTTTGATGCTATTCAAACTGGAGTAAAATTTGCAAACAATATTGTCATGACTTTAAAATTCAGTAATGGATTTTAAAGCATTAAACATTTTAAATTGGAATGCTCGATCTCTTAAAGATAATGAAGACGAGCTATTTAACTTTTTGAGAGTTCATAACGTGCATATTGCCGTTATAACTGAAACGTTCCTTAAACCTGACCATAAGGTTAAGAAGGACTCAAATTATTTAATTTATAGAAATGATCGTCTTGATGGACCCTGTGGTGGCGTTGCCATCATTGTTCATAGACGAATAAAACATAAAATTATTTCTTCATTTGAAACCAAAGTTTTTGAAACTTTGGGAGTTTCTGTTGAAACAAAATTTGGACAACTTACGTTTATAGCTGCCTATTTGCCATTCCAATGCGTAGGCCAGCAGAAGAATTTTCTCAAGAGTGACCTCCAGAAACTTACCCGTCATAGGTCTAAATTCTTCATTATTGGTGATTTTAATGCAAAACACCGCTCATGGAATAATGCTCAAAGCAATTCCAATGCTAATATTCTGTTTGATGATTGTTCTGCAGGTTATTACACTATTCAATATCCAAACAGCCCAACATGCTTTTCTTCTGCAAGAAATCCCTCAACAATTGATTTGGTCTTAACTGATTCATGTCGACTTTGTAGCCAATTGGTTACTCATGCTGACTTCGGTACTGATCACCTTCCAGCAACTTTTGAAATATCCCAAGAAATAATTTGTAATCCCAACAGCTCTACTTTCAATTACCATAGAGCTGATTGGGAGCAATATCGAACATGTATGGAATATAACTTCGATCCAAACATTCCTTTGCAAACCAAAGATGAAATTAATTATGCTCTTGAATCTCTGACTATAGAATTAAAGCAAGAGCTGTCTCAGTACCAAAATGCGAGGTTAAATTCGATTCAATTATAATAGACGATGATCTTCAGCTCTTGATC